AGACTGAGGCGAAGAAGGCATTAAATACCTCCACCTTGTCCTCGTCCTTGGAGATTATGTTCCCTGCCATATCCAATAGGAGATTCTCCTTGCCTCTCTTTTTTTGCCGTTAATCTATTTGTAGAAGCATTTTTTATTATCCTTTACAGTTGTGGGCAGACTGAGGTCTAGCTGGGTTTTTGCCTTTCTAATTTTGTCCCTGCTTGACCTGACGAGATCCTTGTGCTCTTCGTGAGTTGCCTTCCCCTTCTTCCAGAGGTGATAAATTCTCCTTTTTTCCCAGCAAAAAGGAGTCCCAGGAAAATCTCCCTGTTCAGCCAGGCCAGTCGCCTTCCCCGCCAGCTCTTCTTACAGCACATGGGGACTGCCTGCTCCTGCGCCTTTAAGATTTCCTTTTTGAAGACTGTCCAGCCTTCCTGGATCCCTTTGCCCTTTAGGACTGTCTCCCAAGGGACTCTCTCAACCAGTGACCTGAACAGGCCAAAGTCTGCCCTCTGGAAGTCCATGGTAGCAGTTTTGCTGACCCCTCTCCTTACTTCGCTCACAATTGAGAATTCTATCATGTCATGGTCACTAAGCCCAAGACGGCCTCCGACCACCCCATCTCTCACCAGTCCTTCTCTGTTTGTAAACAGCAGGTCAAGCAAGGCACCTCCCCTGGTGGGCTCACTTACCAGCTGTGTCAGGAAGTTATCCTCCACATGCTCCAGGAACCTCCCAGACTGTTTCCTCTCTGCCGTGTTATACTTCCAGCAGATGTCCGGTAGGTTGAAGTCCCCCACAAGAACAGAGGCTAGTGAATGCGAGACCTCCGCCAGTCACTTATAGAATGTCTCATCTGTCTCTTCATCCTGGCTGGGTGGTCTATAACAGTCCCCCAGCAAGATACCTGCCTCATTGGCCTTCCCCCTCATCCTTACCCATAAGCACTCTACTTGTAGCACTCTTCACAATCATTGATTTCTCTACAATCAAAACACTCCCTAACATACAGAGCGAGCCCACCACCTCTCCTTCCTTGCCTGTCCCTTGGGGAGAGCTTATAGCCACCCATTGCAGCACTTATAGCCATGCGTTGCAGCACTCCAGTCAAGAGAAGCATTCCACCATGTTTCTGTGATGGCAACTACATCATAGCTGTCCTGCTGCACAATGGCTTCCAGCTCCTCCTGTTTGGTGCCCATGCTGCATGTGCAGTGGTGTAGATGCACTTGAGCTGGGCTATTGATTTCACCCCCAACTCCGGCATGCCACCCCTAGGCTCATCTCTAGTGAGCCTGGTTTTATCCCCTTCCCCCTTCAAATCTAGTTTAAAACCCTCTCGATGAGGTCTGCCAGCTCATAAGCAAGAATCCCTTTGCCCCTTGGAGACAGTTGACTCCATCTGCTGCGAGGAGGCCCTGGTAGAAATACATGCACTAGCTCCTTTACGCCTTCTGAGTCCTGTATACTATTTTCTTCTAAAGTGTTGGGTTTTTTTCTTAATTATGGAGGATTAGCAGTAAACTTGCGCAATGTACCAGTGCATTCTTAGTTGCGCACAGTTTTTTAATCCCTGTTGATTTGGCATTTAAAAGTTAGAGAAGCGAGGGTGTCTTTCAAAATAAGGAACACCTCATCTGATAAACTACTTTTACCAAAGTACTTTCATCCATTGAGACTTTGCGAGAACAATGTCTAGAAGTGGAACAATATTATTTTTCTCATTGGTAGACTAAAAGTAATGGGTTTAGTGTAGATTGTCCTCAGGAAAAACATTCCTTTCTTGTACAGGTAGCCAGGTTTAACACTACTCACTTCCTGGTCAGTACTTCTATATCTGTTAGGGTCTAAGAAATTTCATAATAAATGCATTGTTTCATGATCCTGTTGACAGCACTTTTCTATATCAGAGAGGTTAAGATGGTATTATCTTTGTAATTTTTTAGTTGTTGGATTGTGGCAGATAATCCTGGGATTTGTTTGGGATGTTTTTGGTGGCTATTTATGTGTATTTCAACATTCTTTTATTTGTTCTCTTCCCCACCCACAACAGTCAGCCAATTTCAGAAAAGGCAATGCTATTATGAAAGAATTACAGATTTATTTATTTTTTAACTTTTTTTTTCCCCACTTCTTTTTTTAACTTCATAAAATGAACGTATTAATGTTTTGGATTTAGGTTGGAATTCAGGTACAGCAGTTAGTTCCCATCAGTAAAGCCACTTCGGCTCACTCAACAGTACAATCGGGACACTTACCTGGTGGATCACATTCAGTTATTGATCTTTTTCATGTTCAGAAAGCAAAAAAGTGCTCAGAAGAAGAACATAAGGAAGGTCAGTAAGCTTTGTACTTTGCATGTGTCATAATGGTCAGTTCTGAAGGGCTCCAACAGACATTACCTTTTGGAATATTACATGTTACGTAACATAAACTCTTTAAGAGCATGTTTTGCTGCTGCAAAGGAAAATGCTACAAATAAAACTTTGTACAGGATTATTCCAATCTTTTAAAGTATGCTTTCTTACTATTAACTTTAAAAAAAAAAGGAAGTCTTATAATTGTGCTATATTGTATAAACTATTTTAGCTTCCTTGAATCTTCAGAGTATTTTTAACTATTAGATGATCATTCTGTATTTTGTTTTCATATGTATAGTATTTGTGGCTGCTATGGACCTTCAAATATCTTCTGATTCAAGAACTTGCACTTTTCTTCCATCTCGCGGTACCCATCTCACATCTGGTCTCAATTCTAATGTTAACAACACTGAGTCCCCTGTCAAATGGAATGGCGTGCATTCTCCTATCAGCGTAAAATCCAGACTTAATTTGAGTATTGAGGTTCCATCTGCTTCCCAGGTAAAACCTGAGAATATAAACCATCTGCAATACATTGTAATAACTTGGGATTGTTTGTTTTATTTGGGTAGAGCAAAAAAAGTTACATTACACTTTTTTAAATAAAAAGAACTTTAGTTGAGTACTAGAGTTCTGTAGTACACCCTACACTGCAAGGAACTGTTATTGATGCAAAACGATTTTACCTTAATAAAAGGATTTTTAAAAAGCAGTCATTTATAGGCTAACTAAAAAAGATTATACTTATTCAAAGGAAAGAAATGTAATTTTCCAGTATCTTTTTCCCTTCTATCACTTGCCAAAGAAACGGGAATGGAAAAGATGGTGAGGACAAAATATTAAAAAACATTACCTCCCATCTTTCACAACCAAAGCCTAGAGCCGAATCATAAAAAACATACAATAAACTTTAGGAAAAATTCCATCAGAGAAATTAGACACATTCTATAGTTAGTGCTCAGCGTTTATATGATTATGATACGGTGCAGATTTCTAAATTCCCTTTTCTTATGTTAGCTCTTAAAAATTATTTCTGATTAGCTTAATCACTGATGACTGGCTCAAGAAGAATTTTATAGTACTTTGTCTCATTTTCATGAAGACAGAACTTTTAAATGTTTTCCATCCCTCTTTATGGCAGCAATTCTTTGCCACAGATGCCAATAAATGATAATCAGGTGTCTTCTCCGCATAATTTCTTAAAGTCATGTGTTCTATACCAGACTTTAAATTACACTATAAATCTGTCTTCAAGATTTAGTCAGTGAGAAGGAACTAAACAGCAACTAGTCTTACGCTCACTTCTATACTTTTCAATGGCTATGCCCTAAGTTTCTGCCTAAAAGAATGTCAAACTTGTATTTAGATTTAATTATTCATCTTGATGTGTTTTTTCACATTTTCTTCAAATAATTTTAAAGCTAAAATGCACACTTAACATTTGTACAGTGTCACCTTTTAGATGAGAGGAGAACAGTCTTTATTTAAGTAAAATATTTCTGTGGGGTTTGGGGTTTTTTTTGGTGTGTTTTAACAAAGGAAAAGCCTCCTTATTTCCACCCCACATGTTATTCAAGCAGACATCTGTTATAAGGGGCTGCTATGAGCAAGGTGCACTGTATTCTGCAGCTATAAGCAGATTTACATGCTTTTCTGTAAAAATCTGTAGTTTTAATTTCTGTAATTTAAATCTGTAAACGCATGCATTTGTTGATATTCTGTTAACAGCTTTCTTAAATATTTATACAGTTTTAGAAGCCAGTTATGCTTTTGGCAGAAAACTGTTTTTTCCATAATGCAATACCCAAGCTAGCTCAGGATCTAAAAGCAACTTGACTGAACAATGTGAAGCTCCATATACTCAGATTCTGCTATAGGAAGACTACATATGAACAACTGAAAAATGGACTAGCTGTGCGGTAGAGTTCCTAAAGTTTTGGTGGCCTTATGGCACAATATGCTTATCTTTCTTTCTGCTTTATAACCATATTATAATATGGAATTCAGTACAGGGAAGGAGTGGTGAGAGTTATTCCCATACTGCTGTTTGTGTACTGTGTGCTAGAAAAGCAACAGCAAGATACTTTACACCCAGGATTTCCAGAAACTGCTTACAGAGGTATATATGTAGAAAATCTGGAATGAGGGAACACAAACAGAATGTAGAATGAATAACTGAAGAGATTAATAACACAGACAGCTTTCATCAGCTTACCATCATTTTATGGTAACTGAACCTCTCAGTTACCATAAACCAAGTATTTTTTTATAGATAATTTGTAGTTGTTTTCTGTAAATCCAGAAGCTGGTCATGAACTCCAGATTTTTTTCTTAAGGGTAAAAGATAAAGTTTTCTAACATCACTATGGAGTCTCATGTAGCAGAACTTACAGGCAAACATTGGCATTTATCTAGATAGTTTTACTCAAATTTTACTTGCAAGAAAAACGATGCTGTACATCTGCTCGCCAGTTATAGTCATTCTGTCACTTGTGCGGCTGTCATGTATACAGCAACTTTTAGACATTGAGGGATTATTTCAGGTGTTTCAAGTTGATAATTGGTAATAAGTAGCAATTACAGCAAGCAAAAATTTTAATCTAAAGCTTATTTTGTTATCAAAATCTATGACAAGAGTCTGACAGTATGCAAACATATGTAATACCATTGAAGTAAATTAGGAAAGTGTATACTAGAACTATATAAAAAAGAATTTAATTGCTTGCTGCTTTGTACCAGCCACCAGTTTAGTATTCATATCAAGATGCTGCCTATATAATTTGAACTCAGAATTTGGGTTTCCTTATCACTAGGTAGTTGTAGAGGACACCTTATATCTGGTTTGCGATGAGAACACTGAACATTGTAAAAAGATGAAACTGACTAGTCATACTTACTATTTTTACATTTTGCTGCTGCAGAGTGTAACTGTTAGGTTCCTAGGTATGTTTGCATACACAGATTAAAATGATATTTTTTTCTACAATTCAAGAACTGTAGAACTAATTTTTTACTAAAATTAACTCTGTTATCTATTAATCAGAAAAATCTAAAAGCTTTTCTGTATTTGTAGATAGACAAGTCTGTGCTAGAAGCTCTGCCACCTGATCTCCGAGAACAAGTAGAGCAAATATACACCGTTCAGCAAGGAGAGAGTTATGGAGATAGCAAAAAAGAGCCAGTAAATGGATGTAACGCTGCACTTCTGTCGCAACCAGTTGGAACAGTGCTTTTACAAATACCAGAGCTGCAAGAACCAAATACCAATATGGGAATTAATGTAATAGCATTGCCAGCTTTCTCACAGGTAGGATGTTTGCAGGGTATCAAACATCAACTTTCCACCTGTAGGAAGAGTTAACAGCTTTTTCTTGACAGCATTACTAGAATCTGTGACTTCCCAAAACTATTCATGGTCCTTTAATATCTTTTAAAAGTCTACTTTCAAATGTTACTCAATCTATCACAAACATAGTACCATAGTATTTATTAAAGGTTTGTAATCATCGGTATGCCTGTGTTTTTGCTGTTGTTTAATGTAAAACCTCCTCATTTACACTTCGCTTTGCAATCCAGTGTGTAAATAGCCTTTTTTCTGCATTGCAGCTGAGTTACACTGCACCGTAAGTCTGAAGCAGTCCTAAAATCTGCTTAGCTAGTCACAGGAGACTCACTCTGTTTAAGTGGTTGGTTTGATGGTGTAAAGCCAACCTCTACTAGCTTCTGTAGATGTGATTGTTTATATCGCATTCCTGGGGCAGAGGCAGGCATGGCTAAAGATAGGGCCTATCTCCATAATTTTTAAATGAACTCATATACAGTGTATCCAGGATGAGGAACATACAAAGTTGTTTCTCAAAATAGGGGCCTGAAGGGGGAGCAGGTAGCAGTAATGATGCTTCTAAAGATAGTCCACCCTTCAATGCTAGATGGTGCTGAACAAATGTAGGGTAAAAAAAAGTAAATCAGAGATAGGGTTACCCAGAGATACAATATCTTGCATATGCATCATTTAAAATAAAGCAGTAATTTTATTTTGTATTTTTATTTTTCTGTTTGCTATGCCATTGCTCCATTGCTGCTCCCAAACGAAGTGATATCACCTAATCAGATTTATAGAGAGATATTTGTTGCTTTTTCTAAGGCATAATGCTGCTTAGCTGACAAAGAATCCAGGGAAAATTAGATAGAAATTCCTGAGCTGTTTTCAGTAAATAGTAGTTAATGCATAATTGTTATTTACAAGATGTGTAGTCTATTCTACTACTAAGATTTCTTCACTTGAGTCAAGTTTATTGGTTCAAAACCAGTTTTGTCAAGTTTTTATTCCTGAACTGCTAAGTTGGGTTTCTCCTATGAATTTATGGTACTAATAGTATATGAACTCACCATACCCCAGCTGTTTTAAACTACATAGTTAGTCATTCATAGGCAAGAGTTTATCTTGGACTTGTGTGTGAAATTATGCTGTGCTTTAAAGTATACCTCGCCACAGTTGTTTTACTGCTCAGTACTCCTTTTTCAGGATAAACTTTAACTGCATTTGGCTTTCTATAAAAATTACATTTAGTTCGTGTTTATGCTTTATCTGTTTATTAATTAGGTAGTTGCGAATTGATTGTTGTTTTTTTATAATAGCATTACTTCTTGATATTGTCTGAGAAATACCTAATTTACACACTCAAATGCACCAGTTTTCCTGTCTCCATCTGCTAATGCATTTTGTGACTGTTACTTGATACAAAAATGTTAGCTTAGCAGAGCAGCCTTTTTGTTTGAAGATGTAGTTTAAGAAGAATTAGCTACTTTCTACTTGTTTGTCAGGGCCATCCATACTACCGATTCTAGAATGCCTTATGTTTGTAGTCCAGATTTTCTCCTGAAAACCATTCAGCTTGTTTTATTGGCAAAAAGAGAACTAAGATTTACAATTTTCATTTTCTGAGTTAGGTCCAAGTTTAATACCTAGAATAATACGGTTGAATAACTTCATTAAGCTTGGTGAAAAAAAATATGCTAAAACAAATTCATTAATACAGGAAGATATTTTTCTGGGTTAAAATCAAACATGAACTTAATTCAAAAATACCGTATTTGTCTAAATGTAGTTTGACACAATTTTTTTATTGTTAAAGTCTTTGTGGGAGGGTATATTGTACGAGTGCACATAAGCATTTAAGATTACTTTCTTTCAAATGATGCCGTGAACTAATTAGTAATAGGTTTCAGATATAGAAATACTGCAAGCCACTCCAAATTGAGTACTTCAGCTACATCAACTCAGCAAATGTAAATGATGCCCTGCCATCTTTTTAGAGCTTAATTAGGTTTGTTTTTCAACCCTTCATTCCTTTTGTCTGAACTCTGATTTTATGACCAGGTGCCAAGTTAATTGGCTGATAGTGAATTATTCATTAGAAAACATGTGGAAAATGTACTTTGTTGGGTAGGGTTCTCCCATAAAAATAATCCGGATAGGTTGCATCCATTTACATCAGCTGTTGAAGTAACCTTGAAATTTAGAAGAGCTGTATGTCTCTGTAGCAGATGAATCCTGTAGAAGCATAGGGTGCAAGAAGTAAAAATTACAGATGCTTAGAAATGAATGACATTTGTAGTAGCAGCATTAATTACTGGTGGCAAATTTGCACCTCATCCTTACATTGTCTTAACACGATATAGATTCTGTTTAAGGAAATTTATACAGCACATCAAAAATACTAATAGCTGTATGCTGAGGCAATACATGAATTTAGAAAACCAAGGTTCTCTATAATGTGAATGTGATACAACTATGTGAAAGCTATGTTAGGACACTCTGGCTGTACAGTAAATTACCTGAAATTCCAATTAATTAGTGTAGAATTTATATGAACTTGGCTGATGGCTCTTCTAACTGAATTTTTACATGTTACACTTTCAAAGGGCAATGATAGGGGGGATAACAAAAACACGTCCAGTTCCTTGTACTGCATTATTTCTGCATGAATTATTAAGTGCTATACACAAAAAACAGTGTTAATTAAGGGCCTCCCAAATTCCTAACTCTTGAATGCTTAACCAGAGAACACTAACCTTTTTAAAATAGTTTTATTAAAAAAAAATTATATTTGAAAAATAACTTAAGCCTCTGGACTTAATTGGCTACAGTCCACTACAGTGGTTTGTTCTGTGCAGTGTATGCAGTAATTGAGGTCAGAGTTGTTCCCATTTCCTCCTTTAATTAGTGTATATTTTGTGTGGTGAAAAATTTGTGTTGGCACATGGAGATCTAAAAATGGAAAAAATGTTGTGCTAAATTGATGAGTTTTACCTGTGGGAGCATGTTCATGTTTATTATCGATTTAGACATCGATATGAATGGCACATGTGTGAATGGCACAGCCTACCTTCCTGACATAACATACATATTTTGGTTTTGAAAAAAGACCAAATCTCTATTGAAAATGAGAGGTAACTTTTAATATATATATGCATACTGACGTATAATAAATACAGTATCTCAGATAATGCTAGAAATTGTATTGTGCCCTTAGAATAGTAATAGTAGTTTTGAACAAATTTTTGTGCATATTTCCAGATTTTACCAGTGATATGAAGGGCACTCTCCCACTGGGCAGATTTAATCCTCTAAATGATAGCTGTGCTTTTTTGAATTAGATTTTGCAGATTATGAGATTGAAACACTGTCCAATAATATTGGGGAACTCAGAATACAAGATTAGTCTGTCACTAATTTGCTGCTTCAGACACACAGTGAGGGAAGATAACCCATAATACGTGAAATTTTATACTGTCCAAATGACTGTGTAAGGCAATTGGCAACAAATTATTTCCTTTCTAGAATACAAGCACCTAGGACAGTTGGAAAGGACTGTGTTTTTATCAGTCAAACAAGAGGTGGACAACTGTGGGAGAAAGAAATTAAACACTTTTGCGTTAGTTCAAAATACGAGATAGCTGGACTTTGCATTTCCTGTCTTTAAAGAAGGGAGGGTATTTCCAAGGATATTTTATTTGAGGAGTGTAGCAGCTTCCAGGAAATAGAAGTATCAAAAGAAAAGGAGGTACAAAAGTCTGATTGTCACAGTGTTTGAGTTAGGAAATTTGAAGGGAATGTCCTCTAAGTTAGGCTTAATTGTGATTTTACTATAGCTGTACTGTATATCAGTAGGTGAATAAAGATAGTGGTGAACAAAGTAGGTCTGCAAAGGTAGTGTGTTATAGGCCCATAAACAGTAATTTTTATAAAATAATAAATGTAGAGTAATATTAAATGGAAATTTTTATGGTTTTTACAAGCTAAAGTACATGAAGAAAATGTACAACATATTTTACAGTGTTTCAGTTATATCTCATTTATTTTTGCTTGGCATAAAATGTAAATACCTTTCTCATGTGAGTGATGTAGAGAAAAGCAAGCAGTGTTGCTCACTGGTGAAATAATCAAATTAATCTTTTGTTACTGTTCAGGTGGACCCTGAGGTTTTTGCTGCGCTACCTGCTGACTTGCAAGCAGAGCTGAAAGATGCGTATGATCAAAAGCAAAAGCAACCAGAGCAGCAACCTGCTAATGCTTTCGGTGAGTATATATAGTTGTACAGTAGTTTTGTATAGGAGTTGTTTACTCTTCAAAAAGAGTTGTGTAACCCTAAATAACAAACTGGAAAGTATAACTAAAGCTTCTGTGAAGATGCTGTGTTAAACTCAATTTCTGTATTTATTTTTGACAGACTGTCAATTACAACCAGCTGTGGTCTCATTTTGCAAACAGATGCCTAGCTTTACTTAAATGGGTAATTAATTCAATTCATGGGGACTGTGGCACTAAACTTACCATGTCCATATGTTTGCAGAATGAAATCTAAACTTGATAGGTACTGAAGATGCAATACTTCAAATGACAGGACATAAGTTAGTTAAACTATGTTCGGATAGCATTCTTATGGTTCCCTGAAACCCATAGCACTGGTATGAGTTTCAGGCAACTAGAGATATGATACATCTTGCCATATGTCTGATAGTCAGATGGTTTTACTCTGAGCTGATAAACCTGGTCTCTTTTTTTATAATCAGTAGAAAGAAATGAGATTAAGTCCCTGTGAACATGCTTTCTCATAAAATAGGTTGGAAATGTAATTGGGTTCATTGCCAGTTAAATAATGCATTATTATAATGAAACCTTGATTTGATAGTCGACTGGTGCAGATATGTCAGTATGATGGAATGAGAGCGATTTCCTTGGTAAACTATGATAAAAGCAGTTTGGAGGGCTTTTCGCTGCTGGTTTTGCTGATAGCCACTGGTGGGATGTCTTAGCAGGTATGTGGGTGGGACCGCTCTCACTGAGGAGAAGCAATTTGTCCAATAGGCTTCACATTTCACCAGCTGTTCATATTCAAGCACTGAAATACTTGATATTAAAAGGCTTATGAGTAGTTGAGTATCCTCTGTGTACACTACTGTCTAGCAGTGCTTTTCAAATACTTAAAACATTGCCCATGTCTGGAACGACATGTGAGTGTTAAAGTCGCTTTATCTAGGTTATGTTCTCCCAATTGATCCATAGATTTTTATGGAAAATACAGAGTCCCCCTTTCGATGGAAAAGTATTAAATTTTAAAGTGTCAGCCACTGACTATTCCTGTGTTTTTCAGTGTCAAAAAACCCTTTCATACACCTGAAGCATGCAACAGTGAAAAATAAGAAAAAAATCAGGAAAAAAAATCCAGTCAGTCCTGTAAAAAAGATTCAGAGTCCTTTGAAAAACAAACTTGTTGGTAGCCCTGCAAAAAACATGCCAGCTACATCTGGAAGCCCACAGAAGCTAATAGATGGTTTCTTGAAACAAGAAGGAACAGCCGCTCAGGTAATTTTAACACTAACAGCTTTTGGTAAACCTACGTCCCTTTCTTTAGCCTTAGTACATGTTCACAAACGCAGCTTGTTTTCTTTACTGGATTCTTTACTAGACGCTTATCTATGTGTATATATATGGTGTTATCATACTTGTCAGACTGAGCATTATCAACTTTTATGTTTGGAACAGCCGGAAGCAGTTCCATCAACTTCAGATTCTTCAGGCCCATCAGCTCTGCAGACTGAACAACAGCCTGGTTCATTCAGGCCACAAGCACCCAACCTAGCTGGAGCCGTTGAATTCAATGATGTAAAGACGTTGTTGAAAGAATGGATTACAACTATTTCAGGTGCGGGGTGTCATGCTAGGTGATCTTGCATGCATCACGAGGAAAACTATCTTTTTAGCAGGCTTTTTGTACTTTCTTCCTTCACTCTTCCTTTCACTGGTTATTTTTCACAGTAATCTTGAAGTCTTACTGTCTTGCAATCTTGGAGTAACTCAATTCTTCCTACTCAGTTGTTATTCTGTGGTTTTGCCAGCTCCTGTTTCTTGCTTAACATCTTGAAAATCTTACCTGCTCTCTTTTCAGCCCATTTGCCAGGCCCTTGTCTTATGCCTTGATGTTACTTGTGTAGGAGGTTTTCCTTATTTTGTCCAACATGTTAAAACTGCTAGGATGAAAGCTATTGAAAGGGAATTCCTCTTCTATGAAGATACCATTTTAGAGGCAAAGGAATGCCTTTTTTTCAAAATAACTGCTGGAAAGAATTCTAGAATAAACTGCAAAAGTGTAACACCATTGCTGAATTGTGATTTGAATTTTAGCATTAATGTAAAACAATTAGCAACACCTTAGTACCTTGGGAAATCTGGCCTGTGAGGTTCTTTGTACCCTGGATGTTACTATTCTCCTTAGAGTTTCAAACAGCCATTCCATTCTAAATCCCTGTTTCTTTTCGCTTTAGTTAATATTAGCTTGGCCGTCATTTGTTCTTACCAAAGAAAAAGAGGAGGTCTACAAGACGGATGTTTCAGGACCTTATAGTCCTTTTATGCACACAACTTCTGATGTTGAGGGGAGGTATAGGAATACAGCAATTGTCAGATCAGCCCCTGAGGGGCAAACACTGCAGAATTTCTTTCTATTATATTCCAGTTATTGTGTGATTATATTCTAAGTATACTTAAAGAAAAGTTATCTCTTTTTTTTTTTTTCTTTTTTTCTATTACAGATCCCATGGAAGAAGACATTCTACAGGTTGTGAAGTATTGTACTGATCTAATAGAAGAAAAAGATTTGGAAAAGTTAGATCTGGTTGTTAAGTACATGAAAAGGTAGCTTACTTGCTAGTACTTTGTGACATTTAGACTATTTTTGTTAGAATTTATGCACTAGATGGTTCAATGCGAGGCCACAAGCCCATTAGACATTCCATTGATGCGTGTAATATTTTAAGCTTGAATTTTATTTCAAAGCTGGGCTGGGGAGAGAAGTTGAGGTGTTAAATAATCTGTGGAGTAGCATTTAACAGTATTTGCTACAAGGTCTTTTGTTTCTAGACAAAGGATATCATTTTTGTCAGCATTGTCCCTTCGTCATGTTTTCATTCATTTTTCATGGCACCTTAGGTCTTTCCTTTGTTTCATCTGATTTTATTCTCCTGCTGTGTCCAGATCCTGCTTCACCTCCAATCTATTAAATCCATTTTTATTACTTAGTTATTGTGCTCCTGTTAGTCTTCCCGTGAGTCAGGAGGCCCACATTCCATTTATGACTTGCTTACCAACTGATACTTAACTGTGGAGCTCAGCTTTCCATGTCTTAGATCTGGAAAATACTTATTTCACAGAATTAATCAACACCCAAAGGACTACAACAAAGTAAAAATTTCACTATGCTTTTGTATTATGGGATGTCTTTGGACTATGCAAAACGCACAGTGCAGCTAACCGTTTTGTTGAACGCTGTATAGTAAATTCTTTATAAAACTCTTCAGAAAGCAGCATGTTCCATTCCTGTGTGAGATTTGCACTGATAGCAGTGTGTTTCTCCAAAGCCTGGTAACCAGTGCAGGACAAGGAATTGGGGTCGGATGATACGCAGTTGTCCGTATGATACGCAGTGATACTGATGTTACGGCTTTCAAAGCTCTAAGTGTAGGAACACTCTGCTCGCCTGTCGTAGTGATCTAGAAGGGGATTTTGAGAGTACAGAGCTGCTTTGTTTTCCTTGGGCATTTCCTTAATTTGCTTCTAGCAGCAGCTGAATGATAGAGGTAACTCATAGCTCTCTGTGGGCCTCCATGATTTTGTTCCATTTTTAGCAATAAACACAATATAGTGCCCGAAAAACCTATTATTAAAATGTCTTAATCACCCTTGCCATTCATTGGAAGAAAAAAATAGTATGTATGTCTGGGGATGAGGAAGGAAAGATCAGGATCCAGAGGCTTGCCATTCCTGTTTCTTCAGTATGAAGTCGGTAGAAGCTCAGCACTTCAATCACAGGCTTACAACCACTGCAAAATGGTCACACTATTTACAAGCTGGTGTGACACCACTCAGATCAGAAATGTCCCCACTGAATGGCAGAGGAATCTGTGGCATTAGGTCAGACTTGGTATATTTGAAGATAGGGCTTTACCAAGACCAAATCAAAATACCATTCATTGTGAGCTGTTGTGATCCTGTTTTCCAGCATGAGGACCAAAACTTACTGTAAAAAGGACTGGTTCTGTAATGGTAATTTTCTCCCTCTTCTTCCTTTTCCCCTTCAGGTTAATGCAGTCCTCTGTGGAATCAGTTTGGAATATGGCATTTGACTTCATTCTTGACAATGTTCAGGTAGTTTTACAACAAACTTATGGAAGCACATTAAAAGTTATCTGAACTTGTAGTAAAGAGCTTGGTGAGAGCCTGGAGCTCTCTGCTAGCTGTGCCATAAGTGCTTGTGAGGTATTTGCAAAGTGCATGATAGTAATGCCCTGAGTTTTTATAATTTCAAATTTCTTTTTAAACAACAAAGTGTTTTGTACATTTCTTTTCAGAAAGTGCCAAATTTGTCAGTATTGCATGTAAATAATTGTGTTAAAATTCTTTTATTGTAGTATAGAATCTATTTACAAAATGTTTGTTTATAAAGTTTTATGGATTTTTACAGTGAAGTGTTTACAGTTGTTTAATAAAGAACTGTATGTATATTTTTGTACTGATTCTATTTTGTGATGCTTCAGTTTGAATATAGTTTTATTAAAGCCACAGCTTTGATTCATTTAACAAAGTTTTACACAGTGGCAGTGCCTCAGCACGTGTAGGAGACTGCTGTGCGTTCACCTGGCTGCTTTTTGTTTCTTCTCCACTGACTTTATTGTAGATTTGAAGCCAAGGGAAGAATATTAGCTCATTTTCAGTTTCATCCTTCAAAGACAGAAACCAGTGTGGCCCAGCCATGCCCAAAGCACACACGCTGTGAGCTGAAGTGCAAGTGCTGGCTGAGCCCTGTGTATTCAGGTGTACCGTCATCTGTGGAGGTGTGTGCTTATGGAGGAAAACAAGTGGGGATCTTTAAACCATTGCCACAGAGCAGCAATGTAAAGGAGCTAGGGAGCAGCTAATGTGGAGCACTCTCTAAGCCTGTATCAGCCCTCTGCATTGCTCCTACTTTGGCTAGAGCCATGTTCAACTCTTAAAATACCAGTCTCCCCAGCCTGTGACATGTGTTTACTTTATGCAACATAGCAAAACAGGTTGTAGTGGGTAGCAGAAGTGAAATAAATAGCCCTATGTATCTGTTGGTGCCCATGGTAGGGAGGGGTATGCTTGCATCTCTACAGTTCGTGTTTTTGGCAAGTCTTGCATTTTCCAGATGTATGCCAGCCTCGTATAATCATATCTGGCCCAATGTGTTGAAGCAAGGCTGTTCAGGGGCCTGGCAAGAATGAAGACCACATGAAGAAAACCCAGGTGGTAAGAAAAATCTTTTAATTATTTTCTGAAGAAACGATGGGTCCAGGGAAAAGTCACCTGACTGTAGAATTGCAAGCTGGAATGCAGATTGGAGCTAACCCTGGAGGAGGGTTTGTACCACCAGCTTAGCAGGAAACATCTCCACTAGCACCGGGCAGAAGCTGCTGCAGCTAGAGCAGCAAATGTTCTGCAGCCACTTCACTGGCTGCAGCAGCAATGGCCTGTTGCGGCTTTAGATTGTGCCCTAGGCTTCCCTTGTAAGGCACCCTGGGAGAGGTGCCAACCTGTCAGCCTTCTGCAACAAGGTGATGGATGAAGGAAGGGCAGTAGATCTTGTTTCCCTCAACTATAGTAAGGCTTGTCATCATACCTCCCATAACATCCTCAGAGACAAGCTGATGGAGTACAGGCCGGAGGGGGAGACAGGGATTGAAAACTACCTGGGCAGGCAAGCCCTGGGCATGGTGATCAGTGGCACAGCCCTGTTAGAGGACAGGCCCCTGTGGTGTACCCCCACAGTCAGTACCAGGTCCCGTCCTGTTCAACATCTTCATTAATGACCTGGATCACAGGGTATATGTGAGTTTGCTGATGACACAGGATTGGCTGATGGAGCAGAGGACTGGACTGCACTGCATGTAGAGACCAACAGGCTGGAGAAACAGGCTGGTGAGAACCTCCTTACGTTCACCAAGGAGAAGTACAAAGTTCCACACCCAGGTTCCACCCTTCAGGTTGCCTGAGCCAGCAAGACTCCCTCACAGCCAAGGCAGCCAACAGCCTCCCCAGCAGCACAAGGAATATCATCACCAGCAGGTCAGTGGAAGATTGCTGAGCAGAGGGGAGCATTGGTGAGACACACCTAGAGGGCTGTGTCTAGTTCTGGGCTCCTCAGTACAAGAGGGACATGGACATACAGAACAGCTCCAAGGCAGAGCCACAAAGCTGCCTTCTCTCAGAGAGAGGCCAAGAGAGGTGGGACTGTTCAGCCTGGAGAAGAAAAGGCTGGGGGTGGGTCTTGCCCATGTGTATAAACACCTGGCAGGGAAAGTAAGGAAGATAGCCACTCCTCTGTGGTATCAAGTGAAAGGGCACAAGGCAATGGCTACAAAGCATTCCAAAACACATCCCCCCCCCAGACAAGTTGTCCACAGTTGTGGACCCTCCAGCAGTGGAGATAGATACTCAAAACCCAACCAGCCACGGTCCTGGGCAACCTGCTCTGACTGCCCCTACACTGAGCTCAGGGCAGGCTCGACTTGGTAACTGCAGGAGGTCACTTCCAACCTCAACCAGTCTGGCACAAGACTAATTTTCCCAGCTCAAGTTAGCTTGTTTGGTATCTATCTGCCTATAACTGCATATGTCAGTAGGTATGTATGAACAGAGAGGGACCTTATCTCAACCAGGTTGTCTGGGTTTCTGCTAGAAACTACTGGAAACATTCAGAGCCCCTTTAGTTGCTACTTTCAAAGCTTCCTTTTCCTCCCCACCACCCCCAACCCACCCCAAGCAAACAGGCATGCTAACTGTTCACAGAGGAATGTATTTGCTGAAATTCAAGCCAGTATTTTGCCAATTAGGTTTCAGGGACACCGCTCTGGTTTTGCAAGCACTGCTCAAGACATACTTGAAACTAGCATATTTTTTTTTTAAAAGCAAAAGGATTCAAAGCATTACTTAACCGAGTAAGGCTATTTGTAATTATATTGTCATTCTCCCTTAGCAATCCCTGCTTCAAGCCCTTAAATATTATATTCAACAGCTACCTGCTTCCTTAAAGCCTTTCAGTGAAGCTACTTCGTAAGTTCCGCAACAGCAAACTGCAAAACCAGCATGATCCCCTTCCCAGAATTTTTACCTGTGGAAAGAACACCCTTCCACATTTGAGGAAACAAATCAAGAATACTTCAAGACCACAATGTTTGACATCTGGGTTCTTAAGAACATCTTTTATTAGTGTAGTTTTGATGATTGCATAGTTTGCAAAAGAAAATTATAACAATTAAATGCAGTCGTCTCCTCACAGCGATCATTCTATTCTAAACCACTGGCACACCCAGCAATGTGAACTTAACGCCACACGCCAATGCTGCTGAGCAGGTCCTTTTCAATGGCAAGTTTAAAGTTATAACAAACCAAAAAAATGCCGGTAAGTTAAATTCCATTGCCAAAGGAGGCAAGTTAAGTTATTAAATGTTCCTTTGTAATGGAGCCCACAGAATCCCAATTATAAAATTATGATTTTTCCAACCAAAAAAGTAATCTTAAGTCACAGAAGAAATCTGAACAAACTGCTTATTGCAAGTTAAATTCTTGTAAATATTTTAAATGCCACGATCTCAGCTACACGAAAGATCATTATCCATCTTGTTTCAGCTTGTGCTTTTGTTTTGCCCCTCTCAACATGAGCTGCAAGCTACCAGTGACCGCCCAATCAGAGGTACATCAAGCTGTCTTCCTGAGCAGAGACCCGCAGGGGAGGGAAGGGTAGAAAAACACTGGGATCACAGGCTGACTCCTGGTCATCGCAACATCATCAACCAAACGCCTTCTGAGCTGGTTCAGTCCCACGGTGTCAGATGGCCCAACAGCTTGGATGCAGCACCCAAAGTCACCCCTCACTTGTGGCCAACTGCTTCGCAGGTGCTTACCACAGCTCTCAGTAGCAGCCAGAGCAGAGAAGCCGCCTCCACGCTCCTCCCAGCAGAGCCTCTGGGAATCGTGACTTGCTAAACACCCAGCCTGCAACTCCGGTCCTTGGGGAACATGGTACAAGCCACAAGCCACCGAGATGACCACCATGCACTCCGCAAGGGCAAGCGGAGCTGGAGGAAGAAACACACAGGAACACGCCTCCATTGCTTTGCCAAGCAGAGAGAGGCAAGCCTCCGCCTGGCACAGCCACGTCTGTCACGGCCCGTGAAGTGAAACCATGTTTATTGAAGCAAACTGTAAAACAAACGGGCTACTAGGTCCATCTCCTTTATTTGCGGCTCTGCATTATAATGATTACAGGTTGGCTTTCATGAACTGTACAAGCAATAAAAGGCAGCCAGCTATGCTTTACATCATTGTTTCACACAAAGCAAATACAGAAATATCCAATTGCCTAATTTTCTATTTAAAAAAATTTCTATAGGCACAAAGCAGAAGAATGTTGGAAAAGAGAGTCAAGGGAAGAGGTATGCATAAATAAAGAAGTACTTCTTACATCAAAAATGTCCCAAGAATCACAAAGTCTGCAGAAGCTTGGTTAATCAAATACTGCAGTACTGATCTCATCAGTATAAAAGTGAAAGAGCTTTAGTTCTGTAATAAAAATTCAATTTATTTTATTTTATTTTGGAGAGAGGGAGGGAAGAAGGGTGGAAGGAAGGGCAAACTTTAAAACAGCAGCCAGTATTAGGAAGGGCAGTAGGAGAGGTGAACAGGCACATTGGAACCATGGGAACATGTAAATTGACCACTGTCAAACCAGTGTAAATTTCTTGGTTTCTCATGGAAAACATTTTATCCACATATTTTCCTCCCAAATGTATATCCAACACTGTCTTCAATATATGACTTTGTTGGTAACTTTTAGAACAGGAATAGCACATTTATTCCTGCCTCCCCATTGCTGTAAAAAGTTTATATCTAGATGATTTCAAACACTTTCTTCAGCTCTACTATAAGCTGCCAGTCAGACTTCTGCATTTCATCCCTGAACCAGTCCTTCAGAGCATCGATGGACTGACGACTGATCTGCAACACACAAGACAAACCTATCAGAAACCTACACGTGCACATCAAACAAAGGCAGCCCTCCGCACCTCAGAGGCCAATAGTCTGAAGAAAGGGTGTCAGTCTGCACAGCAGGGAAGCTCGTTCTAATCCCAGTTTTGCTGCTGATCCACTGTGTGACCCGTCCCCATTCGTTTCCCTTCCTCACTCCCCACATCCCTTACCAGCTGCAGAAGCACCAACCATCTCACACCTTGTGAGAACACCTTCTCTTCTTGCAACAGAACCACCCATGACCAGAGAGGACCTCCTGCTTTCCCAGGGCCCACAGCACCAACACCACCTCCCAGTTCCTGTCACCGGCCCCACCTCTCCACCTGAAAAGCCCCCATGGCTACTTGCCCCTCCCCGTTTGTGGATGCATGCCCCTGGCGTGCCTTGCGACACAGTAACTAAAGGAGGTAGGAGTGTGGAGAGCCATGGCTTTGCTCCTGACAGCAGAAAACCA